AGGGACACCATTTCAACCTATCTGGCTAATAGCCATTGATGGACCTCACCTCCATGAATTTTATCCAGTTCTTTTCTAATCCTATTACAGTCTGTCCTCAGAGGAAACCCACACAACACCTTCAAAAGGTGAGCATGGGAATTTACATTTGTAACTCTGTTAGATACTACAGATCATGGAGTCAAAACAGGCACTGGATTACAACAATCGATAATTCAATAACCCTCCTTTTTCCTACAACTATGAAGTGTTTACTGCCCATCTCATGTCTGCCTACGCTGCTAGTCCATATCAGCTGACTTGAGCTTGTGGAGCTCGGGCTATAGGAATATAAAATTGCAGTGTAGGTTTTTGGGCTTGTGCTGATGTAACACTGACAGGTAGAACCAAACGTGAGACCTCTGGAGATTAGTGCATGAGCTTCTGCAGCTTGAGTTAAAAGCCAGTGAGCTCTCAGCTGTAGAGCTCTCAGAGCAACTTATTCTCTCTTTCTCTGTAAGGGTATGTCTACACTAGCTCGTTAATTCAAGCTAGGTAGGCAAATGAGGCGACCAGAGTTGCAAATGAAGCCCGGGATTTAAATATCCCGGGCTTTATTTGCATGTTCCCATCCGGTCGCCATTTTGAAATTTCACTAGCCCGAACTCACTGCCGCGTGTTAATTCAAACTAAGGACTTAGTTCGAATTAACATATCACTGCCGCACGGCAGTGAGTTCAGGCTAGTGAAATTTCAAAATGGCGACCGGATGGGAACATGCAAATAAAGCCCGGGATATTTAAATCCCGGGCTTCATTTGCAACTCTGGTCGCCTCATTTGCCTACCTAGCTTGAATTAATGAGCTAGTGTAGACATACCCTTAGTGGTCTAAGTGCCACTACATAGAACAGTGTGCCACACCCAGAAGGCATTTGAGTTATACTGGTCTCTGGGGTCCTAAAGCATGGGTGTTTTATTATAGCATAGACATAACCTGTGAGTACCATTCCCAGACCTGAAGAAGAGCTCCGTGTAAGCTCAGAAGCTGCTCTCTGTCACCAATCAAGGCCATCCTTATGATTTATGGTTCCCTATGGGTGGGCAGGGAAAATGGAGGAGGGGCCAGGGGCTGTGCTCAGGGTTGTAGGGACAGGAGTAGGGAGACAGGCATGGGATCTGGAGCATGTTGCAGCACCCCACATCTTATGTGAGTTCCTAGCTGTCTCCTGAGGTCCCGGCTGCTGCCCAGAACTCTGACATCGGCCGCACACATGGGGGTCCCAGTTGCCACTGGCCCCACATTTTATGTGAGTTCCAGGGCTCCACTCCCAGGGCCATGCCTGCCTCCAGCCTTGGCCCCCCCAGCCTGGTCAGGGTCCCCCACATCCCAGAAACATGACCCTGCTTCTATCCCCAGCAAGGTGGCGTGGGTGAGTGGAGGCTGGGTGTTGCTTGTGGGGAGGGAGAAGGATGGGGTTGGCCACCAGCGCCAGCACTGCTTGCTTCTTGCTGTCCCATCCCACAGTGGGGGCCCTAGCCATACACAGCTATGTATTCTGCAAATGCTTAAGAACAGCTCTGCACCCTCTAAGTCTGTTTAAGTGAAATAAGTGATATTTCTAAGATGATAATGTTGTAAGATAACCCACTGTTTCTCTGGCAAGTTTTGGGCTATCAGTAAGAGTTTTAAAATAATGTATGAGTCACTTGACCAGGACTTAATGTCTGAATTAATTGTTTAGGTTTTTTATTAGAAACTAATCTAACTCAGACGTCTTTGTACTGAATTTGGGAGTCTGCTATTATGTGACAGTAACCATTAAAGTAGGTAATTTGGTTTCAGTTTTAAAATGTCACACACAGTCAGCACTAGAAGTAGCTGCTCCATACCATTGAGGGGAAGACAGGAGTTGCTTTCTTTCCAAGGGAATAGACATTTATTTCTAAATATGGTGCAGTTAGCATTGTTTTGTTGCATATCTATTAGAGCACATGCTTGTTTAAGGTTGTACAATGCTCCCTTATAATGTCATTATAATATCCAGGTGTGTTGGCAGTCGTTCACCCCATTAGCTCCTCCACATTACCTGTAAGGTATGCAGTTGGGCAGCTGCAGTTCAGCTGCCTTTTCTTTGACTGCTGAGCTGCTCCTGCCCTCTGCCTTGGAGCTGCTTCTGGGAGCCTCCTTCTGGCTGTGCAGGGAGGATGGGGGAAGGAACAGACAGATGCTGATGTCAGGATGTCCCAATTTCTCCTCATCAAGCCCCCCACTCCATATATAATTGTCTCAAAGCACGATATCAAAGCGACAGTGTCCTGTGTCTGAACTTCCTGGTCTACTTACAAGGGCAGTGCACTTGAACTGGCACCAGCATACTGAAAGGGGCAATTCACATCCCTGTCTGTACCCGGATGTATGCATCTGTGTCTGTTTCTTAACCGCACTGTGTAGGCATCTCTGCCTGTCTCTCACGCACACACCCCGGGGCCCTGTGCAGCTGTATGCACCAACCGCAGGACAGAATGGTGCAGGGAAATGTTTGCAGCCACTGCCATGGGTGCATCTGATGTTTTCTCTCTCTCATCTGATCCATGCCACCACTAGAGCAGGGGGCTCAAACCTCCAGCCCATGGGCCAGACCCAGCCAGAGCGATTGCACAATCTGGTCTGGGACTCCCAGTGGGCTGGGGGCCCTCATCCCCAAACCCCTTCCCCTTCCTGCCATCACCCTGTCCTCTTCCCCCATGGCAAATGACCCCCCTGCAGCTCCTGCTGCTGCAGGAAGTGTGTGTGCTGGGGATGTGATCGCTGCTGTCATATGGCACCAGGCCCATCCCTGGTGATTCCCAAAGCCGTCTGCTTGGGAAACAAGGTGCCCTGGGGTGGAGGAGAGGCAGATTATGGAAGGGAAGGGCAGGGCTTAGAACCAGTGATAGACAGGTCCCCCAGGCCCACCAAGAGTCCTGGGCTAGATTGCTCATTCACTCCAGCCGGGACTGGCCTGCGGGCCAGATGCTTGAGACCCCTGCTCTAGAAAGTGAAGCTACATTAATAACATCTTATCATAGAATCATAGAATAATAGGACTGGAAGGGACCTCAAGAGGTCATCGAGTCCAGCCCCCCGCCCTCAAGGCAGGACCAAGCTCCACCTACACCATCCCTGACAGATGTCTATCTAACCTGTTCTTAAATATCTCCAGAGAGGGAGATTCCACCACCTCCCTTGGCAATTTATTCCAATATTTGACCACCCTGACAGTTAGGAATGTTTTCCTAATGTCCAATCTAAACCTCCCCTGCTGCACTTTAAGCCCATTACTCCATGTCCTGTCCTCAGAAACCAAGAGGAACAAATTTTCGCCTTCCTCCTTGTGACACCCTTTTAGATATTTGAAAACCACTATCATGTCCCCCCTTAATCTTCTTTTTTCCAAACTAAACAAGCCCAGTTCATGAAGCCTGGCTTCATAGGCTTCTCTAGACCTTTAATCATTCTTGTCACTCTTCTCTGTACCCTTTCCAATTTCTCCACATCTTTCTTGAAATGTGGCGCCCAGAACTGGACACAGTACTCCAGCTGAGGCCTAACTAGTGCAGAATAGAGCGGCAGAATGACTTCACGAGTTTTGCTTACAACACACCTGTTGATACAACCTAGAATCATATTTGCTTTTTTGGCAACAGCATCACACTGTTGACTCATATTCAACTTGTGGTCCACTATGACCCCTAGATCCCTTTCCGCCATGCTCCTTCCTAGACAGTCGCTTCCCATCTTGTATGTATGGAACTGATTGTTCCTTCCTAAGTGGAGCACTTTGCATTTCTCTTTATTAAACCTCATCCTGTTTACCTCTGACCATTTCTCTAACTTGCTAAGGTCATTTTGAATTATGTCCCTATCCTCCAAAGAAGTCGCAACCCCACCCAGTTTGGTATCATCTGCAAACTTAATAAGAGTACTCTCTATCCCAATATCTACATCATTGATGAAGATATTGAACAGTACGGGTCCCAAAACAGACCCTTGAGGAACTCCACTTGTTATCCCTTTCCAGCAGGATTTAGAACCGTTAACAACAACTCTCTGACTACGGTTATCCAGCCAATTATGCACCCACCTTATCGTGGCCCTATCTAAGTTATATTTGCCTAGTTTATCAATAAGAATATCATGCGAGACCGTATCAAATGCCTTACTAAAGTCTAGGTATATGACATCCACCGCTTCTCCCTTATCCACAAGGCTCGTTATCCTATCAAAGAAAGCTATCAGATTAGTTTGGCATGACTTGTTCTTCACAAACCCATGCTGGCTATTCCCTATCACTTTATTACCTTCCAAGTGTTTGCATAGGATTTCCTTAATTACCTGCTCCATTATCTTCCCTGGGATAATCTTAACCCTTGAGGGCTCTGCCAAGTGCTAATTTATCATTTAGAAGCAAGACTTTTCCTGGGAAATATTCCACCTTGTGACTCCACCACTTCAACCAAGCTTCGCAAGAATCATTGCTCTGTACAGTACTAAATTGTTTAAAACTTTTACTGTACATGTGTATAATATCTTATGGTTCCTGAAAAAAAATTCCCTGGAACCTAACTCCCACTATTTACATTAATTCTAATGGGCAAATTGGATTTGCTTAATATTGTTTCCCTTAAAGTAGCATTTCTCAGGAGCACAACTGCACCATTAAGCAAGTTTACTGTAGTTGCAAAGACTCAGGCCTAAAATATGTTCCATGGGAATTAACTGGATATTAATTGAATAATATGGATCCCAGCCATAAGGAATCATCCATATTTTATGAAAGTTCAGGGGAGTTTGGATCCATGAATTTGGATCAGCTCATTATAGTGGTAAGAAAATAGCAAAATTCTAACAGAGCCAGATATAGATCACGTCATCAAATTCAGAGCTGTTCAGACAATACCAACTTTACATTCACATCTCTACAGAACACTGAGCACTGATGTTCTACTTTTTCATTGTGTATCCTTCTGTTTTCCATAGGTTACCAAGATGCTGGCTGTGGTTGTGATCTTGTTTGCATTTTTATGGATGCCCTATAGGACCCTGGTGGTTGTAAACTCCTTTCTCTCCAATCCTTTCCAAGAAAATTGGTTCCTGTTATTTTGTAGAATCTGCATTTATCTAAATAGTGCCATCAACCCCGTGATTTACAATCTCATGTCCCAGAAATTCAGAGCATCTTTCAAGAAACTCTGCAATTGCCAGAAGAAACAGTCAGAGAAACCTACCAGTTACAGTGTGGCCCTAAACTACAGTGTCATCAAGGAGTCCGATCACTTCAGCACTGAACTAGAAGACATTACTGTCACCAATACCTATCTGTCCTCTACAAAAGTGTCCTTCGACGATACCTGTTTATCCTCTGAGGTAACCGTTAGCAGAAATTAATCCATTGTGCATATTCGTATTAAGTACTAGACGTTTTATCCAGCATTGCTTTAATCCTTAATTTTTTATTTTCTTCATTTAAATTATTGCTTTTTGGGGTAGGGCTGGAGATGAGGGGTTCAGTATGCAGGCTGCCTTGGGGAAGTGAGGAATATTCTAGCCCTCTTTTACTGCAGAGTTTGGGGACAGGTGAGAAGCACCTCTCCATGGTTGCTGCAGTTGCTGGAGGCATGTCTAGGGAAAGGGTACATATCCCCCCACTGGGGCAGGTCCAGGCTTGTCTGCCTCCTACTTTCCCCAGCCAGAGTGGGAAATGCAGCAAACTGTGAACTTTCCCCTTATGCCCTGATAAAAGGGAACAGCCAACAGAGTTCTTGTATGAATGGGGGGGGGGGGGGGGGGAGGGTGCCTGGGAATTGAAGGCTCAGGACTATAGACATCCCATTCTCCTACCTGTTGATTCTGTTTTCTCTATGGTTTTATGCATCCCTGTATGAATTGTGGGGGGGAGCTAACCTCTCCACCCTGCATGACCAAACGCTTACAGTGCTTTAAGTGATAAGAAGAAGTAGCATACCGAATTTGGTGGTCCTAGCTCTTATCCTTTAGGAGGAGTTCTTGTACAAATAGACTTGCTCACTCACAAACAGACACTTTCAAATATATAGTAGATAAAAGGAACCAGATTCACAAAAATTCCTCATGTGGTATAAATCGGCACAACATCATTTACTTCGATGAGAGTACATTAATTTATACTAGCTGTGGCCATGTGAAATTCTGTGAAGTTGTATAACAAAGAATCACAAACCTATTTGTACCTGAATATAGCAGAAAAAATAGAATACTTTACTACAATCCTTTACCTTTCAGAACTATTTTGAATGCTCTTTTTGAAGACTTAACAAAAATTCACATTAAAAGTTGTGAAACATGCAAGTATTTTGTAGTCCAAAATTGTGTGACTGTATCATTAATAGCTTCCTCAACTGCTCTCTCATTTTTTGAGGTCTTTTTCATGAATTTTTCAGCTGTTTGATGCATTTCACAAATTTGTTTTCAGATATGATGAAATTTCCTCTTCTTTAGTTATCTGATGAAAATTGCCTGTGCTAAGAGTTGGAATTTTTTTGGTTTTGGTGCTACTTTCCACAAAAACAAAAACTGTCAAGTTGTCACAACACAGTTTAGATGCAAATTTTGGACAGTTCTGCTGCAATTGCCAATTATGTACAAAATATCTGCAAGTGAATAGACACTGTCTTTATACCTTTGACACCTGTCAAGTCTCTTTAAAAAATGGAAATCAGACTGGTGTGCAAATAAAAGGGAAGTGTTTCTTGTTCTCAGAAGCATAAGGTGCTGTGCTTTCAAAGTGCTGGATTTACCCGAATGACAGCATTGGTAAGTGGGAATCAAATCACCTTCTCCCTACCAAATGAACTGGAGTGAAATTCTGCTGCTCGGTCAGTAGAAGAGCCTAGTAATGTAGGATACTGAGCTACCTCAGTTCTCATGATAGAATGCAGGTATCAGAGTTCAAGGCACCCAGCTTCTCACAGGAAGTGCTCACCATCTCTTGGGATCCATCTCCCCCAGCGGCTGCTGCTTCTGGCCTGTAGGGGTTCCCCCCTTGTGCAGAGGGGCTTACGTCCGCCCCCCTCAGTTTCCACAGTCGTTAGTGACTCAATGTGCCCGGCTTCGCTCCGTTCAGCTCGGCGGTTGGGGGAAGGCGGTCCGGGCCCGCCCTCGCTCCGGACCCCGACCCAGGGCCCTAAGGTAAGGGAAAGGTTTCCCACCTAGCGGAGGGGGTCGGGAACCCTAAACTCCCCCGCTCTCGGGGTCCACGTCCCTGCCCTGGGCCACTTCTTCCCCCACGTCAGCACGTCCCACCCCAGGCTCCTGCTCCGGTCCTGCCCAGGGTCGCCAATACCTGAGTCCGTGCGCTCGCTCCCAGGGGAGGTCCGTCTCCTCGGCGTCCTCCCTTCTTGCTGGGTCGTTGCAGCCTTTTGAATTACCCACTGGTCGCAGGCAGATGAATCATCCACCGGCCCCCCCTCAGGCCGGCCTCCCCGTGATGTCACTTTCCCCGCCTCCTTCCCCAGCCCTTTGCCTCCCCCTGCCCCTTGACGGCGTCGTTTGCTGGCCCCGGCTCGTCACCCGGCTGGCGCGCCGGCCCCCCCACTCGGGGAAGACAGACGGCTCTGCAAGCCGCGCGGGGGGGTGAGCTTCTTCCCTGCGGACGCGGCATCCCGGCGGCTTCCGGAAGGGGCGAGGCTACCCCGCCACACACCTTCCCCCTTAAGTCTGGCGTCATACTCGCCGTCCCTGTCCCCGGGGTCTCTGCTACACGGGATAGCCAGTCCGCATTCCCATTGTTGGACCCTGGGCGGTGCGTGACTTGGAACTGGTATGGCTGTAGGCTGAGGTACCATCGCAAAATCCGTGGGTTAGTGTTCTTCATCTGTTGCATTCATTGCAACGGGGCATGGTCCGTCACCACGGTAAATTTATCGCCTAGAAGAAAGTATCTCAGTGAGTCAATAGCCCATTTGAGGGCCAATGCCTCCTTTTCAATCGTCGCGTATCCCCTCTCCCGGGGAAAAAGTTTACAACTAAGATAGAGGATGGGGTGCTCCTGTCCCTCCTCCTCTTGCGTCAGTACCGCCCCTAGCCCCACCTCCGACGTGTCAGTCTGTAAGGTGAACGGCTTGTTAAAATCGGGCTGAGCCAGCACTGGGGCGCAGACCAATCGGTCTTTCAGCTCCCGAAACGCGTCGTCGCTCGCTGGGGTCCACCTCACCCTTTCGGGTTGTCCTTTCCGTGTGAGATCTGTAAGAGGCGCGGCTAAAGAAGAAAAGTTAGGGATGAACCGTCTATAATAGCCCGCCAATCCCAAAAACTGCCGTACTTTCCGTTTTGTGGTTGGGGTAGGGTGTTCCCGTACGGCCTGGACCTTGTCCACTAAGGACTTGAGCTTCCCTCTCCCCACTGTGTACCCCAAATACGACACCTCGGCCCTCCCGAATTGGCATTTCTTTGGGTTAGCCGTGAGTCCCGCTCCTCTCAGAGCCTCTAGTACCTTCGCGATGTGGTCTAAATGTTTTTCCCAGGACTCGCTGAATATCACGATATCGTCGATATATGCCGCCGCGTAGTCCTGATGATCCCTTAAGACCTGGTTCATGAGTCTCTGAAACGTAGCAGCGGCCCCGTGCAGCCCGAATGGCATGTTCTTAAATTGATACAACCCGAAGGGGGTGGCGAACGCTGTCTTGGCCTGGGCCTCTGGCGAGAGCGGGATCTGCCAATACCCTTTGGTCAAATCGAGGGTTGACAAATAGGCTGCTCTCCCGAGGCGCCCCAGTAGCTCGTCTATACGCGGCATGGGGTACGCGTCAAATTGTGAGATCGCGTTGACTTTGCGGAAGTCTATGCAGAACCTCGTTGACCCGTCTGCTTTGGGTACTAGCACAATGGGGCTTCTCCACTCGCTGTGGGATTCTTGTATGACCCCCCACTCCAACATGGCTTGGAGTTCCTCTTTCACCGTACCCCATAGCTTCCGGGGGAGGGGGCGCATGTTATATCTCACCACTCTGCCAGGTTCCGTTTCGATCTCGTGCTGTACTAGCGAGGTCTGTCTGGGTTGGCTGGTCAATACCGGCCTGAATCAGTCGAGGAGGTGGTACAGCTGCTCTTGCTTCTGCCTGGGGAGCTCTTCCCCGATCCGTATTCCCTCGACCTTCATCTCCGGCTCCCCCCACGGACCCAACTCGATATCGGTGTCCCGAGGGTCGATCAGGAGGGCCTCCCGCGGGTGCCACTTCTTCAAGAGGTTTACATGGTAAATTTGAGTTTCCCGCCGGTTCCCATCCACCCGCACCTCATAGTCTACCGGGCCGAGCTTCCTTATTACCTGGAAGGGTCCCTGCCAGTGGGCTAACAGCTTGGACTCCCCACTAGGCTGCAACAGTAGGACTTGCTCGCCTGGTTCAAACTCTCTCACCTGCGCTTTTTTATCGTAATAGGCCTTCTGCCCTTCCTGCGCCTTTTCCAGGTTCTCGCGGGCCCGGCCCGCCAGGGCATGTAGGGTCCCTCTCAACTTCCGCACGTACTGGGCGGCCCCCAAGGCGGGAGAGAC